GAATCATGAATTTTAAGGACAGAATTTTAGTTTTTGTAAGCGTCTCCCAAATTTTATCCGCTAGTGTTAACAAGTGAGAGAGATCTTGCTGACTAGAGGAGGTTAGGGCGATTTCAATTACGTCCGGTAACCGCCTCCTCCATAGTTTAATCAATAATCTTTCATCAATTATTTTGTCGCCGGCGATTTGCATGAGTTCCCTGAAAAATGTGGAGGGCTTTTTATCGCCCAATTCTGAACTAGACAGTAATTTATTTAAACGTGCTTCCTCCGATAGCGTTAACCTACTGAGAATTGTATCTTTCAGAAAGTCGTATAAATCATTGGTTGGAGGTTTACTAATTACGTCATAAACCTCGCTAAAAATATCTGGTGGTAAGTGCGCTACAGTGACATGATATTTGCTCTTGTCAGCTTTGACATTGTAAATAAAAAATTGACTTTCTAGTTGTTTGAACCACAGTTCTGGTTTGGATGACCAGAAGGCTGGAAGTCTGATATTTTTTAAGTTTTCTAATGAATCAATTCTCTCAGCAGTGGAGGTATTTGGTTCTGACATTATAAAAATAACAATTTAGGCAAAAAAGAATATGCAATGTTTTTTAAAAGAGACAATTCAAATGGCTCACCGATCCGATTCCTTTTGAAAATCTTCACGTGATGATCCCCAGGAAATTCTCTCCTCCTCGACGCTGCTATGGTGAACGGCACGTAGTTGGAGATGTGGTTTTTATCTGGGGAATGTTCAGCTTGGAGTTGTCTCGGGGTTACTGCCTAAAAATGTTCTTCGTCGGGGTCACCAACATTTAGTGGTCCCGGTCGGCGACCACTAAATCCTTTGGAGTAATGGCTACAACTAATTTAGAAAAAAATTTAATCAGAAAAACTATATAAAAATGGTATAATCGGAATTATAAAATTTGGATTTGTTCGTGATGTTTGGAAAATGCTTGTTTACTGTCTTTCTACTGTCCCAGCATAGCAACGGCGGTCCTTTATATATGGCTGGCTCTCAATTTCTTGTCTACTTCGTTCTTCTATCCTGGTGGATAATCCTGTAAAGATTTACAAAAGGAAAAGCATAGCTTCATAAATAACAGGTACGTTATTGAAAAAGAAGAGACCAGATGGTTGTCACTCTCAAGCACATACTTTGATTACTATACGAGGCAAGAGAGAGGTCCGACACGCCCAACATAGAGCGCGGCCATTTTGAACCCTGTGACAGAGTTTACAGCTAAAGAATCAGATCGCTCACTCTGCGTCGGCACTTTTGATCTCAATGTTTCAGTTTATACACTATGCAACTCGGATAATACAATATATGACAACCGCCTATAATAAAACAGCAGTCTTCTGCGTATCCTGAATTTGTATCCCTGGAGTGGATGTTATTTTGGAACTTTCAACTGGTCCGAGTGAGCTAACTCACTCAAAAATAATATTCACTGACACTGACAGCAGCAAGCAAAATATCAGGTGCGTTTTAATTATCCGCTTCTGCTTTCGGAATTGTCAGTTCAATCGTTTTAACCTGTCAGATTAAAACAAGAAAACCGACCATTCCGAAGCAGAAGCGGATGATTAAAACGCACCTATTAAAAATATTGCGCCAAGATGTAGGCAACACGTAATAAGGGTTCAAAATGGCGGAGTTTTCTATCTCCTTTTAAAAGGCACTCAGAAAGCTGCGCAGTGCGACCATTCTCCGTAGTATAGTAAAAGAAAATCAAAGTATGTGCTCTCAAGACATTGCATATAATCACACACCTAGAGAAATATACGGCTAAAGAACGACGCATCTGATCTGAGTGTTTACTGAAACGGGATAGAATATTCCGCCATTTTGCCAGCTAATTGTGTGAAATCACCAGGCCTACAGAGTTGCCATAACTTTGTCACATCATAACCTGTCAAAACCCACTGGTAGTCATTCAGTTTGGAATGCCTAATTGTCAGATTTAATGTCAACTTTCGATGCCGATAATGGCGATGCTATTTTAATGTTTTGCATTGTTTTCGTTTATGTTCGTGAATTATATTATGAATATGTAATAATGCAATTTCACAATAGTATATTATGCAACGATCATGTAATGATGGTTATTAATACACGAGCATTAACCGGGATACGAAACGAGCCAAAGGCGAGTTTCGTATGGTTTATGCGAGTGTTTTAATAACCATTACATGAGAGTTGCATACGCTATTTTTTCTACACCCGATAAATAATCAAGACCTATAAATATTCTATTTATATTGGCATTGAACACAATAACAGTAATTACTCGTATTTCTATAAAAAATTCTACAAAATTGTAATTAATGGTATTACCTTGGGTATTGGTATTACCACAAATTTTTGGGGCAAAATATTTTGTACTGCATTTTCTCCTTTCTCCGATATGTGTGGAGGAGTCTTCTATATCGCTGATATCAGACATTTTAATATTATAATTATCGAAGTTTAGCTATCTACGAAAATTTAATACGTTTTGACAACTAAAACAATTACATAGGAATTTAGGACAAACGTCAAACATCATGCTTGATTGAAAAATTGTAGGTTTCTATTGATTAAAAATCTGTATCATAATGAAAAATCTGTATCATAATGGGTATCATTATGAAACGGATTATGGGCATATAAGTGCATTATTATAATACGGGTGTAGAAAAAATAATGTTAATAGTTGATGCATAAACAATTATTTTCAATAATTATAAAATGCCTAGTAACAAAGGAGCTTGATGCATGCAATTTGTTTAACAAAAACGCATACTGTTGGTTGCATACTATCTTGCTTTCACATTACCATGTATTGTTGGTTGCATATATGTTTTGACAGATTACTGGCAAAATGGCGGCTTATTAGACTTTTCAATTGTTGCCGAGTCGGATGTTTCTCTTACGCTGTATAGTCATCTAGGTGTGTGCATATAACTAAAAAAAATAAAAATAATGACATAAAACGTCAAACATGAAAGAGCAACAAAAATTTCATAAAATGTTGGAAGTTCTTTGTGTGCTCGCCAAACGAGACGCGAGCACCACAGTAACACATCCTAATGTTTGTGTATTTGGTAGCTAAAGCTTTTATTAACAGTACTCTATGGTTATCAAATGGTTCCTATCAAATTTGCAAATATATTTTTATTTATAAATGACTTTAACACTGAAGATATAATAGAGTCTACAGAAATAAGATGATAATTTGAACTAACAGTTCTCTTTTCTATTATTTCTTCACATTGCAGACAAACGTCTATCACATCCACAGAGAGATACTGTAGGCTCTATTTATTTTGTTTGTCTATAAATGAAAATATTTGTAGGTCTTTCTGGTCTGCACATAAAGAATTTACGCATTCCTCACAATTAAGCTTTTTTTTAAAGAGAATACAATATAGCCAGCAATATACGTTACAATATATTTTGTAAATTTCGATAGCGAAGGGTTTGGTAAATAATCATGATCATACTTAGTATTATCTAGCACACTGTCGTAATTTTCTAATAAACCAAGAGCCCTGTAGTCTCTTGAAGATTCGTTGATTTGTCGAACGGGACATTTTAAAATTCGGAGCTCTTCTAGCGGAATAGAACTTCCACTAAAACTTTCACGTACTTCGACATGTACTAATATTTTCTTAAAAGCTGTCTGAAATTGTCGCGCAGCGGAGTTATTGTTGTGGCCTCCATGTGAGGGAATACAGCCAAAGAATAATTATATGTGGTCTTGAGATATTTTATAAATTGGTAAAAACTGTAGTGTGTTGGAAGAAATTAATCTTTTAAATATAGTTTTAAACTGGATATACCTACTTGTAAACCTAAGAATCTGTCGGTGTTTAAAAGCACATGTGTTTTTAAGGCACTAATATACTCATTTAAAAAAGATTCTATAAATTCAACCTTTTTTAAAGACAAAGGCTTTGTATAATGAAATTTCTGGAATTTAATATAACAAAGAGATTGTTCATCATTCTTATAAATCTAATTGTTGCACCAGCTCCAGCAAATTCTCTCATTTTTAATTCTTCCTTACAAAACTCTAATGCGGTTGCAACACTATCATTGAAAACATGAGTTGCAAGCCTAACTTTAATTTTTGTCTGCCAAAACCAATATGCTGTGATCTTAATTTGTTTGCTAAATGAAACGACTCGTTTTCTTGTAATTTATTAAGTTCTTTCAAATAGTTCCAGGAAACCATTTCATTATTGTCATCAATAAGTGACCCTTTTTCCCCTTGCGAATCAGTTTCACCATTTGAGGAGGGTCTAAAAAGATAACCACTTTCTCATTTGTTGACTGTTGTGTTATACTTGTATTTAAACTTGTTGACAGATACTTAAAACTTGTTTTCAAACTTGTACGGTCTAAATTACATCCCAGACGAGTTGCCATTGTTAAATTTACAGGTGGACCATCAAATGTTAAACTGACTACTTGCACTCTTACTTCATGGCATTTCTCCAAACACTGTTACACTAATCCTTGTTTTTGTTCTCCTGTGATACCAGCGATTCAAAAATAGCCAACAAGAATTTTCCAGTTTCCATTGATACTATTTAATAGGAATACCAAGGCATCTTTAGCAAGTGTTATTTCTTTGGATCCAGTTCCCACGTCAACATATCCGTAACATTTATTCTTTTCTGGAACCCATTCTTCATGCTGCCGTATATATCACTGCATATCACTTTTTTCTTTTCCGTAGAAACGTTAAGCCGCAGAGCATCTCCAAAATATTAGTTATCCTTAATTTAACAATTTAGCTTGTGACACTCAGTCCCCCACAGAAAGCATAATCATGACTAACTGGTACCATACTTTATTCCGATAACCTCTTCGATTTGCCTCAAAAGAATGATTATTAACGTGATAATTTGCTCTTTCAGATAAACATGTTAAAAACAATGGACTATTAAGTTGGTGGTGTCCATCTGTAAGAGTTGCAGATATATTTCCCCATCCAGAATTTAATGTAAAATACATGCTAAATGACATAGCATTGATGAAATTAGATTCACCTATGAAAGTCAGCGAAAAAAACAATTTTGTAAAACTTCCTGCCAGATCACATTATTATGGTCTTAAAAATGAAGGTTTGAGTCTCGAAAAAGATGATATATCCCAGTTTTGTCCTGAAGCTACTATAGTTGGTTGGGGTACTACTAGCAAAAACAACTACTATATTGTTCCAACAAAATTAATGTGTGTTGAATTACCGATAATACCTATACCTGTATGTCGATTCATTCTTAGAATGGCCCCAGCCAAAGTCACACTTGAAAATGTTTGTGCAGGAGGATACAAAAATAAAGATTCTTGTGTTGGAGATTCTGGTGGTCCTTTATTATGCGATAATTATCAGCTTGGAATTACATCTTGGGGTCCAGATTGTGCTGTAGGATTACCTTCAGTTTACACAAGGGTAGATAAATATATCGATTTCATAAATAACACTATTATTACAAATGAAGGAAGGAGAGAATGCTATTCTAAATATCTAATCGAGTTAAGTATATATTACTGGATAATTTTAAAACTTTTATTGTTAATATAACTACAGTGAAAATATAAAAAAAAATATTTTTTTATTTGTAAATACAATTTGGTTGATATTAATATCTAATACAGTGCTTTTTTTTTCGTATTAGGCATACGACTAGTATATAAGTTAATAAAATGACAACAGGGCAATAGCCAGTCGTCGCGGTAGACTAGAATTAGAAAATATCATGGTGGTAGGCTATTAGCAGAACCGAATATCAGTGACTAAATCAGATAACATAGCGATAGCGTAAAAGCACGGCTATGCCTAATACGAAATATTAAGTACTGTATATCAATAATACTTGGGTAGTTTTTTCTAAAAATATATAAAATATGTCCACTAATAAAATTTTCTACCTTTTTAATAAAGTGTTTCTTCAGTAGAAACACTTTATTAAAATTTTCAGTAAATTCTTTAAGATATTTAAGAAACTGTTCGCTGAAACTAAAAAAAAATGTACAAAAATATGAAATTAAAATGAATAAATGAACAAAAATTGTTTTACGTCATTAAAAATACAAAGTTAATGAATAAAGTGAATCAAGAAATAGGTAGCGGAGAGTGATCGAAAATCTTCCACCGACCCCCTCTTAACTATCCTGTGAGATACATATGATCGTGGCAGAGAGAGGAACCTCCCATGTGGCACACACTATTTCAGAAGTGTTTCAGAAATATTTCAAAAGTTTCAAACATATAGCACATGAAATATTTCTGAAATATTTTACTGAAAATGTTTCTGAAACATGGTATACATGTTACACAAAAGGTTACTAAACGGGCTATGTTATAAAAGGCTAACAATTAATGAAGAATTTCTGAAGTAATTCGCTTCTACATTTTATGAAATACTCTTCAAATCATTTATTTATTTGTTTGTCTGTTTGTAACGTGATACTTGTTATTTTATCTATTTGTTATAGTGTTTTAAGCTCAATTGATTTTGGGAGTGGGTCATGTTTTTAAATAACTCGAATTACCTTGAAAAAGAAGTTGGGCACCACTATATTTAAAACTTATTATACTTGACTATAGAGTGATAAAAATGTAAAAAATCACTAACCATTAAGATATTATATTTAAACCAAGTTTTAGATAAGGTAGTAACAAATTCTAATTCACAGAGATTTACTTAATTCAAATTTAGATGATTTATTTAAAAAAAAAAACAAAGACTTATCTGTTATAACAGGAGGTAGTTATTTTGGGGTGATTTGCATGGTATATTAGGCCTTCTTTAAAGGGATTCTTATTCTATAGGTGAACCAAACCTCGGTCTTCGGATAGCACCAAACTCTTAGGTATAAATCTTCATGAACTTCTTGATATAAACTTCTTAGATACAACTTGAAATAAACCTCTTGATATAATTGAAAGAACAAACGACTTACCTGAAGAATGTTTGTTCAAAATTATACGAACCGCGTTCTTAACCAGTTAACCTATGTAGTTTCCACGACCCAGTGTTACGCCACAGAGTTTATAGTGACAGTGACATTTTTCATTGCCGGTGCCCAGCCCTTCAGTTCGTGATCTGTGTGGTTGATTGTTTTGGGTTTTCATGGGAGGGGGGGTTGTTAACTGGTTAAGAACGCAGTTCGTATAATTTCGAACAAACATCCTTCAGGTAAGTCGTTTGTTCTTTCAATTATACTTCACGCGTTCTTAACCAGTTAACCTATGTAGATGTTTAAAGCATTTAAACGATCAACATCTAACGAGAATTTATATATTTTAATTAATATTAAGATTATAAACTTCTTTTTTGTTTACAAATATGAAAATAGCAATTTATTTAATAACACATAACACAAACAATAATATTTAGTATTCAAAAATAAACTCTAACATTGTCTTTATAATCTTGAATTGGCACACACTAAGTGCTACAAACGCTTCCTAAAATTTTATTACAATAGTTTTCTTTGTTAACTAGTGGCCTATTGTAGAACTTTGTAAACGTACAGCTCGAAGAAGACCATCCAGCAGTTTTTATGTTTCATCAATTTTCACCCCCGCTCTGCTTGCCGCAGATGTTGATGCATGCCTGGTACTGTGGGGTGTGAAAACATCGGATCGAATACCACTAGCCTTCATAATAGATTTGATCCATCTATTAATAGTATTAGTGGTGGCTTGGCGAAATGGACTTCTGCATGTTATTATTAAGTATTCTTCGTTTGCATTTCTTAAATTTTTTGTTACTTTAAGAACCTGCGTCATGTTAGCAAGTAGCCGCCAGCAATAAATTCAGGTGGAGGCGAGGCCAAAGCGCCAGCGGTCTTACTAAATCTTTAACATCTAATTATTTTAAATTTCGACATAAAGAATATATTAAATCATAATTTGTTGCATTATAATTATTATTACCCTTTTTACTTTCCTATCTGTATACAGATATAAGGAAAGTATAGGAATCATGATTTTTTTCGACCTCGAGTTTTCGACGGATTTTTACGTTTTGAGGTCCCCTGAATCCGTTTTGACTATTTTCGCGATGATGTCTGTGTGTGTGTGTGTGTGTGTGTGTGTGTGTGTGTGTGTGTGTGTGTGTGTGTGTGTGTGTGTGTGTGTGTGTGTGTGTGTGTGTGTGTGTGTGTGTGTGTGTGTGTGTGTGTGTGTGTGTGTGTGTGTGTGTGTGTGTGTGTGTGTGTGTGTGTGTGTGTGTGTGTGTGTGTGTGTGTGTGTGTGTGTGTGTGTGTGTGTGTGTGTGTGTGTGTGTGTGTGTGTGTGTGTGTGTGTGTGTGTGTGTGTGTGTGTGTGTGTGTGTGTGTGTGTGTGTGTGTGTGTGTGTGTGTGTGTGTGTGTGTGTGTGTGTGTGTGTGTGTGTGTGTGTGTGTGTGTGTGTGTGTGTGTGTGTGTGTGTGTGTGTGTGTGTGTGTGTGTGTGTGTGTGTGTGTGTGTGTGTGTGTGTGTGTGTGTGTGTGTGTGTGTGTGTGTGTGTGTGTGTGTGTGTGTGTGTGTGTGTGTGTGTGTGTGTGTGTGTGTGTGTGTGTGTGTGTGTGTGTGTGTGTGTGTGTGTGTGTGTGTGTGTGTGTGTGTGTGTGTGTGTGTGTGTGTGTGTGTGTGTGTGTGTGTGTGTGTGTGTGTGTGTGTGTGTGTGTGTGTGTGTGTGTGTGTGTGTGTGTGTGTGTGTGTGTGTGTGTGTGTGTGTGTGTGTGTGTGTGTGTGTGTGTGTGTGTGTGTGTGTGTGTGTGTGTGTGTGTGTGTGTGTGTGTGTGTGTGTGTCTGTCTGTCTGTCTGTCTGTCTGTCTGTCTGTCTGTCTGTCTGTCTGTCTGTCTGTCTGTCTGTCTGTCTGTCTGTCTGTCTGTCTGTCTGTCTGTCTGTCTGTCTGTCTGTCTGTCTGTCTGTCTGTCTGTCTGTCTGTCTGTCTGTCTGTCTGTCTGTCTGTCTGTCTGTCTGTCTGTCTGTCTGTCTGTCTGTCTGTCTGTCTGTCTGTCTGTCTGTCTGTCTGTCTGTCTGTCTGTCTGTCTGTCTGTCTGTCTGTCTGTCTGTCTGTCTGTCTGTCTGTCTGTCTGTCTGTCTGTCTGTCTGTCTGTCTGTCTGTCTGTCTGTCTGTCTGTCTGTCTGTCTGTCTGTCTGTCTGTCTGTCTGTGTGTGTGTGTGTGTGTGTGTGTGTGTGTCTGTGTGTGTGTGTGTGTGTCTGTATAACGCATAACTCATGAACCGATATACAGAAAAACACCAAATTTTAAACTTAAGCTTTGTTTCAGCGTCCAATGAGCTGATTAGATTTTGGGCAGAGTCGGAACATCTGGGGGGGTACTTTATAGGTGGTCATTTTTATATTTTATGGAATATATCTGTTATTTACGTTTGGAGAAGAAAATTCTTCAAATAAAAGTTACTTCTAATATAATTATCTATAATTTTTGTTTTATGCAAAATTTTCCTAAAATGGTCCGTATTCGAGAAATTTGACAAAATGTAAAAAAATAATTTTTTATAAAAATTGTTCAAATAAAAGTTGTTTGTAACATAATTCTCTATAATTTTTATCCTATACATAATTTCTCTAAAATGGACCGTATTCGAGATATTTGAGAAAATGTGTAAATTTCTAATTTTGAAGAAAACTCAAAAACGGATAAAGGAAAAAACATTATATTTTAAACTTAAGTTTTGTTTCGACCTGAGGTGAACTGATTAGATTTTGGACAGAGTCGGAACATTTGGGGGGGTACTTTATTGGTGGTCATTTTTATATTTTATGGAATATATTCGTTATTTACGTTTGGAGAAGAAAATTCTTTAAATAAAAGTTACTTACAATATTATTATCTATAATTTTTGTTCTATGTCAAATTTTCCTGAAATGGTCCGTATTCGAGAAATTTGACAAAATGTGCAAAATTCTGATTTTTAAGAAAATTGTTAAACTAAAAGTTGTTTGCGATATCGATCTCTATAATTTTTGTTCTTAAATGACTTTTCTAAAATGGACCGTAATGGAAAAATTGGAGGAAAAGTGCTAAATTTAAATTTTTCAATATTTTCGTTTTCAATGAATATCTATAGAAAAATGTTTCGAGGTAGATGTATGTGGAAAATGTATATATTTAGTTTATCCTCTAAACATTTTTAGAGATGCTGAATAGGTTAACTAGATAGGAAAGTCATGTGTTGGACACATCAGATTTTTTTAAATTATAATAAGGGATTTAGAGAGGGCTAAAGCTTTTATTACTAGAACGAAATTTGTGTTTTCAAAAATTTATTTAGGTCATTCGATAGATAATAAAAACAAACAACTTTTTCAAATACCATTTTAATATTAAATATTAAATGCTATATGGGTTATAAGGGATTTAGAGATCTTTGAAATTTCAGAGTTTTTATTGCTGAACCAAAATGTATTTTTATAAAAAAATTATTT